TTCATTCTTTTCATTATTCTTATCTTTACCTTTTCTGTAAAATAAATGATTCCTAACATAGGAGAATCCTGTGCCTCTTAGAATGAGCCCAGCTATTATACATGAATTGGTCGGGCATTCTCCAGTCACTTCTCTATTTTGCTACTGCTCTGAAATATACATTATCCTCTGTTTCCTGGCTGTTCCTATATTCTTCTGCAGTAATACATGAAAACCCTTATGCTGTGAAAAACATATACATACTACCCAAACAAAACAATATTTTATTTAGATTGACTGTAAATTTTCAAGGTGCTTTCTTCTTTGTGTTATTAGTACCTTAGAATAGTGCCTGGTACTTAATAGGCAGTCAATAATTTCTCATCAGAGGATTTATTTGCTTTTTTAATGGATCCAAACTGCTATAAGTGTAACTGCAAAATTATGTTTCATCGTGGACAAAATAGAAAAAGAACACAGAAAAATAATCATTGATTTGTGAGGGTGGGGTAGGAGTTGGTACGTTGCAATTTTTATTGTGTGACATCATTATATTGCTGATTGAACAATAAAAAGTTCTGTTCTAGTTTATTTGTTATAGGGCTCTTTCTTGAATTCAGTATTCCCTCTTCTTTTACTAATAGCAGAGCACAGTGTGGCCTTCTTCTAACTCACTTCCAACATTTTTTGGATATAGTAAAATTGAACTGAAAGGAGCATCCAGAGGAATGACAAGGGTAATGATAAAAATAAAAACCAGCACTGCTCTTTTGCCCACGGGCCAAGTACAGCACAGGGTGGGCAAAAGTAGGTTTACAGTTGTGACTATAGGAAACACTGAGTTTATTCTTGTATTATTACTTATTAATTATTGCATTATTTTCCATAGGAACAACTGTAAGCCTATTTTTGTCCTACCCTGTGTTAGCACCTTTCTTGAAGCACCTCATTTAATCTTCCCCACACTGTTAGGAGGTTATTGTTATTTTTGTCTCTATTTTAGAGATTAGGAAGCAGAGACTCTGGGAAGTTAGAGAAGTTATTTAGAAACAGCCAATATCTTGGGTCTGTCTCTAAAGTCCTTGCTAGTAACCATAACAGAGCATGAGATAAACAGTTTGGAACGGAGAGTTGGCAGGCACATCTACTTTGCTCCAACAGGGATTGAAGGATTGGTTGGCTAGGATTCTTTGTTCAAGGGTTGTGGCTGTTGCCTCCACTTTGTTTACTCAAGACTCAGATAAATTAGAATATAACTGAAGAGCAAATAGGGTACACCCATCAAGGGAATTATTTACATATGAGACAAATGTATAGGCTGTGGAAATAAAATAATAAAACAATAGCAACAACAACAAAACCACATTCTTATTTTCAATAATAAGTGTCTTGAGACTGCAGGTTTGATCAGAAGAAAGTATCTGTTCAGATCCTTAACAGTCCCTGGGTCCAGGATTGATGGTGTTATAAGCAAGAGTAAAGGGGCTCTTTCCTACGATTTCTCCGAGGCTTTGAGAACACCACTTTCCGAGCCACATAACAGACCACATATGGACCAAGGGGTAGAGGGTGGGCTGAGGGACCCTTTACACTGCAGCCTCGAGTCTCTGTCACAGGAAGACCAAGCAAGACGCCATTTATGCTTTCTTGTGAAAAAGCCCTAGTGTTCACCCTTGGGCAGCCGCCAGTGTTCACAGCTCCCTTCTTTGCCTCGCTGGCCTTCTGACTGCTTCCCTGGATCATGTCCCACTGGATGAAGGACAGCCGCACCAGAATTCACTGTACCCAAGGGATAGCAACATTTTATTGTTTTTGTTATTAAATATTGTTGTTCTAAAAAGATAATGAACTTCAAGGGCAGGGCACTATTATTTTTTTTTGTCCCTCTGGTTGCGCTTAGCACTATGTTGGGCATAGAGCAAGCAGCTGATAGTTCCTCATTAACCTGATTTGACATTAGTCTGGTTCTTATTGTTAGTAATTCAAAACTGTACAAGGTTGCTCAAAGGTATAAATGAAAAGAAAAAAAAAATCCCTCCTTCCTGGCTATCACCCAGGACATTGCTTGGAAAGGATTAAAACATTTTGTATCTCTACCAACCATTTCCCTGGGAAGCAAAGCAAAGTCTGTAATGCTGATTAACAATGTTAATGTTCTCCCGTAGGCGGACAGGCAACTCTGAGGTTTGCTTCTCACCTCCCCCCTCCTCCTTAGATAGAATGACTGAACTCTAATTTTCAGAGAGAGAGAAGCAGACTTATTTACAGTTATTTAGACTTGTAGACTCTACCTGATATACGCGTATCCTACAGCAATTTAGAAAGCAGTGAACTTTAAACTACAACAATGCAAATACTCTATGTTTAACCCTGTCTTTCATTTCAGAATAAATTAGGAACTAAGAACCGAGAAAAGAGTTGATGGTTTAGGCCATTTAAGGGCCTTCCTGCTGAAGCCAGCGAGGTTTCAGTATCAGAAATAGCTGCAGCCTCTAGATCTCAGTGACTATAGGAAAGATAAACTACCACAACCCACCTGGCAGATTACAGTCCTTCACTTGGTTGGTTGTTTATATTTCACCATGCATTTACTTGACTAAGAGACCGGTTTCTCCGGAAATGTTTTATTTCCAGAACTCATGTGCTGCCAGATTTTCCTGGTGATGACTGGGTGCTTGTTAGTTTGTTTGCCTTGACAGAAAAGAAATGGTGGGATAACCTGTGGTTACAACTAAGTTTGATAAAGCATGTTTATTCACGGCACAAAGGAGTGAGCACGGGTCCAGGAGTCAATACATTTTAGCCTAATTCCTTCTGGACCTTCAGTAAGAAACTCCTCTCTCTGGGCTGAATTTCTATACCTATAAATGAGCAAGTTGGACTAGGTGACTTAAAAAATCCTTCCCAATTCTAACGTGCTGTGCTACTGACTATGAGAGAGTGGGGTTGGCAGAGAGATGTCTAACTGAAAACCAGAAGACATGTTCTTGAGGTTCTCACCTTGCCATTAAACAGCTCATTAAACCTTTCTGAGGCTTGGTTTCTTTCATCTATAAGATCCATTCCACTTCTAAATTCTATGATTTTTTATGATATTGCTTATTGAGTGTGAAAATATCACAAACATAAGTTCTCAGAAATTATCTTTAAAATTTTTGTGCTACACAGATTGTATCACATAAACAACCCAATCTGATCATCAACCAGGAGCATTTATTGTGCAAGTAAATGGTTTATCTGCACAGCAGGGGTGAGACGATGTATACTTTGCAAATACCACTCAGTAGCAATGGTTTTACTTGCCCTATCGTAACTGCATTTTAAATTACATTGAATATTTAGCACAATTACCACCATGCTGTCTGGTTTTCATGAGGTTAAACACTGTGTCAAGTTGATAAATTCTATATTTTTACACTCTGGATTGCCCGCTTTCTATTGAATGGTGCCACTGGCAACAGCCAGCAAGCTTGGATTGGCACCTTTCTACAACTGACCAGTGGAAAACTGCATGCCCATTGAGGTGTTTATGCAGCCTGATCCTATATTAGGTTCCACTTTAGAGTTTGACAAACTCATCTCCTTCCTCTCCTAGGAAAAAAGTGTCATTTTTTTCTACCAGCTTGATTATGACTGGCTATTGTCTGAGCCATAGGAGTGCACTGATCAAAGAATGGCTATTTCCAAAGAGCTATCTGTGGGAGACGGAGGGAGCCTGCATTGCTCTGGGGTGCTGACATGGTCCTCATCATTTTCCATTCTGTCTTATTGGCTTTCCTCTAAATGCCAGAAACAGAAGGTGGTTTGAATTCTTGCCTGGCAGCTGCCAAAGTCAAAAAGGGAGGAAAAGAGATGGGAAGCAACGTGTTTTTTGAGCACCTCCTGTGTTGCCAGACACCGCTTAACTCATTCAGTGATCATCAAGTGACATCAGACACGACAGAATCCGGGGGCCCAAACAGTGTGGTCAGGAAGCTCAGCGTCTCTGTCACCCATTTCTGCTTTGCCCTGCTTGACGGTTCTCACATAGATTCTCTTCACATGGCGGCAAGATGACCGTGAGCAGCCTCACTCTCACAGCCTCCTAGCTCAGCAAGCCCATGGATGGAAGACTTGCCCTTCTCACATCTGCATAGCAATCCCAAGGAAGATTCAGTTTCACCTTGCTACCTACATGTTCATGAGGGAACCAACACCCCCTCCCTGCAGGCCACAGTGAGCTTGTTCAGGGGTCAGGGTGGCACAGTGGCGAACAGCCCCCGTGTGGACCAGAGGAGGCATTTCTTTAAAGAACCAAAAGAAGAGGGGGCAACCCTTGCTAGACAGACAAAAACTCTGTCCATACGGCTACCCCAGTCCACAGCAACGAGCTACTTGAGAATAACGGCAGTTTGAGTTGTCAGTTTGAATGTTTTCTCTAGTAAAACCGAATCAGAAACCCAAAAAGAAAAGTTAAGGGCAGTTTACTTTCTCAGGGGACATATATTAACATACGTTTATCAGACAAGCTACATAAATCTGTCTTTTCTCATCTTTTGATGACTCTTGTGCAGAAATGGCAGTTAGCTTTCTCCTGGCTACATGTGCAGTCATCTAGATTTAAAGGCATATGGTCTATCCTGGATCACTTGCAAATTGCAAGATGCCTCTGAAGCCAAACTTGCTGCTTATTTCATGCCCTGCACATTTAATTACTGCTTGATGTGAACGAAGAGTTTTATCTGCAGATACGCGCTGCTGAAATCTTAGCCGAGCTGAGTTATAAAACAGTTTTTAACAGATTGACGCAATCTTAGAAGGAACTTTGTAAAGAAAGCTGCCTTGAACTATCCTACTGTAAGTCATACATGTTTGGAATCAGTCTGATCATTGAGGGATTAGGTGACAAATACAAGTGTTCCTCATTAGTACTCTTTTGGAAAATTCTAAAACACAAAATTCTTCTATTGGGGTTAGTTGATATTGATAAATGGTTAACAGGTTCTGAAAGAGATAGGGCGTTTCCCTTACTCACTTTTTTCTTTTGGGTTGCACTTTAATTTTCATTTGGTGAAAACAAATTTCTCTGCAGCACAAGTTTTCTTAGCTCCACTCTTTGACTTTCCTTCCATGTGTTCATGTCAGTTAGTCCATCCTTCCACCTGGTCATTGTAGGTGGTATCAGCCTGGAACAGAGAAGCAGCAAGAACTGGGAGCCTATACCTAGGATTTCAGCAGATAGACAAAAAGCTCATGAGACTGGGTGGTTCTGCCTCATGGGTTGTTCTACTGATTTCTAATTATCTAAATGTAAATACAGGGAAATAGGCTTAGGATGAGAGGTAAAATAATTCTAATGAACTGCCCAGCATGGTATTGGGCACATGCCCTTTATCTAAAGTGGCTGCCACGTTGCTGTTATCCACATACACTCTTCGTCCCAGAGCCCTTCAAGTGGCGAGGGGTGCCTACTGGCTACTTCTAGCCCCTGCATACCTCCTCTGAGGTATCCTCTGCTTTTTCTTTCTCCACAGCCTTCCCCTGTGCCGAGTAGCTCAAACAAAAAGCAAAAATAAATTAATCAGTTAGAAAAAATTACCTGAGCTCTAATCCTAAGAAACAGAATGCAGAAATTAATTTTACTGACTTCTTTCAACTCCTTCAAAGCATGGCATGTACCTTCCCCCTTCTGAGTCTTCACACAGGCTGGTCCTTCAATCAGGAACACCTTTCCTCTCATAACCGTGTCATAAGCCTTCTCACAATCAAGGCTTCAGTTTAGATGCCCCTCTCTCCAGAAAGCCTGCCTGACCCCTGCCCTGAAGCTGGGGTTAGATGCTGCACGTTTAGGTCTTATGCCTCCTGGTATGTTAGGCCTCCTTGATCACCGCAGTGTCTCTCTGGTGACTGGCTCTAGCAGAGAATGTGTGTTCCAGGGAGGGCAGAGATCATGTATGCCTCATTGATTGAACTGCTCATTGTACCATCAGCACCTAGCACAATTCCTGGCCAAGAGCAGGCACGCAATAAATGTCCTTGCTTTAAAACACATGTCATTCTTTTTCTGGAAGGGGCTCAAGGATCATCTACTATTTTGTATCTCCTCAGTTATCTGTTTTACGGGGCAGCACTGCTATTATAGTGGAAATGTCTCAGAGCTATGCTGGCTAGCAGAGTAACCACTAGCAACATGCTGCTGTTGAGCATTCGAAATGTGGCTAGTGCAACTGGGAGGTTTTTGTTAATGTAATTTAATTGAAATTGAAAAAGCCATACATGCTATTATATGGGTCAGCATAGTCCAAGAGCCTGAGGCTTGAAAGTGTGTTTCCAGGAGCTGTAACCCTAGAAACTTTCACTTTGGGGGAGGAAAGAATTATCACAAAATCCAGAAGTTTGGCAGTAACACCAAGTTTAACTAATGTTTAGGACCAAGTTTCCAAATAACACATACATTGTGTCATTATTTTGGGTGATGCAGAGAGCATCCCAATTTTAAGCAAAGGAATGCTGTGCACAGGTTGCACACTTGCTCTCATAGCTTTTAGTTGTGTGACCTCAGGAAAGTCACTTAATATCTTGTGTCTCAGTTTTCTTATCTATAAAATAGAGCTGATAATAGTTTGTGTGTATATATGTGTGTGCGTGTGTGTGTGTGAGAGAGAGAGGGAGAAAGAGAGAGAGAGAGAGAGAGAGCAAGCTTATTACAGTGCCTGGCACATAGTATGTCCTCAAAAATGCTAATCACCATGGTTAATTATTCTATTCTTCCATGTTTCTAAATTACAGTACCTGGATATATATGTGTGTGCAACACACACACACACACACACAAGCACACACACACATGCACACACACATCATATCTACTAAATTTGCTTATAAGTTTTGATCAGGAGAATAAGTATATGAGTGTAAAGTACTATGAGGAGGTTAGAGGGTAGGTGCAATAGAATGTTAAACTTCACTTTATTAGGGAAGGTAGCTCACGTTAGATAGGTAAAGTATCTGGAAATGTTATATTCGAAGAGAAACAGTGTTTGAAGTAGGGAATAGAATTTCTGTTTGCAGAAAGGCTTTGCTGAAAACATTTGTGTCACCTGTTCGGGCTGCCGGTTCGCCATTCTCTCAATAGGCAAAATGTTCAGTGGGCGGCTGCCTTGTACCATGCACCAAGGGAACTGACATGAGCTGATGCAATGTGTCCAAAATCCAACCTCTGAGTTTTGCTATTCAAATCAATGTGCTCTACAGTGGTTGTTTTGTATCCTTTGTGGCCCCTTAACCCCATTAGAAAACTGTATGAGTGAGAGTGAGTGACAGAGAGATGGTTCCCAGAATCAGTAGCTGATTTGCAAGCCTGAGGAGTCTGCATGAGAGACAGCAGTAAAAGTCAGTCACTAGCTCTGATAGTTATAGTGAGAGGGGGGAAAGAAAGAAGAGAAAGCCATGAAATGTTATTAGGAAGTCAGGAAAATACAAAGAGTTACTCAATGTAACTCCTACCTTACTATCTGCCCTTCATTTAAAACAAAGTTTTTTATGTATGATATATATGTGGGGTCTTTTTTAATGGAAACAGGAAACTGCGCTCCCTCTAATCACTGGTATATGATAACTTACTATATCCTTTTGATACAATAAATTAAAATGAACTAATCACATATGCAGGCAGATGGGATCTAAAAAGTAAGATGCTTCCTTTTTTCCTCCCTTTTCTTCTTTATGTCAGAAATTGGGGAATCATGCTGAATGTCAAATAACCTGCCAGGTACCAATAACAAGTTGTTGCATATTTTGCACACCGAGATGTATTATATAAAACATTTTAGGGAATACATTGTACAGAGAGAAAACAGAAGAAAAAAAAGTAATTCTTACATGATATTAGAAGTGTATCTAGTGGCTTGCAAATAAGGAGCAACACAATATTGTATAAACAGCAAGCATTCATTTTATTGCCAATACGCACAAATAAATAAATAGCAATAACAGAGAGTCTCGGATGCTTTGAAAACTGTTGGAATGACTGAAATGCCACAAAATTGGGGTTTTAATGTGCTCCGATGAGCTGTCACTATTGTAAGTCCAGAGTTATCTGGACGTATTGGTTGTTTTTGTAACTTTGATTTATTATTATCCTGGGGCGAGTATACCATGGTGCTTAGAATTCTAATTAACCCTCCACGTTTGGCAGTTACTCCCTTATACTACCTAGCAACTGGAAAGTAGGCAAGCATTTTGGGGGAGAATATGCTCAAATATGCAGTAAAGTAAAAAACATATGTGTACCCTTTCTTTAAATGTCTTCTTGGGTCTCTGAAAAGCATTCATCTTAGCACTAAAACTGCTCCTTGGATTAGAATTAGGGCCCACAGGGAAGGTTTATAAATGCATTCACCTTTTCAAGGACACTGGATTCCCACTGCATTAAGTTAACCTACCAGAAGCCATCACAGAATATTAAAGTCTAAAGGGAGAGCAGTTCTTTCTGCCCCTTATTTTGCATGTGAGAAAACTGGAGCCTGGAGGCTGATGGCCTTGCCCAGGCCACACATTGCTTAGGGGTTAGGCTGGCCCTAAAATGGCACCTCCTGACCCTCATCTAGTGCTCCTTCAACTATAGCAGGCTCCCTGGAATTCTACGATACCAGCACTTCCCATCAATGTCTGGCACATAGTAGGCTTACAATAAATGTATACTAACTGAATGGCCTGAGAGCCTTAATATTTTAGGAAATCATTTTAAATTAGTTAAAAGCATTGAACAAGTCGGTTTTTAGAGAGGCTACCCAATTGCTACTAGGTGATTATGAACAAGGAGGCCTATTGAATAATATAAGCAGGGGGAAAGACATCAACTGTAGCCTACAGTAACAAGCTAAGTCATATAATGGAGAGGAACTGGAAAAGCTGGTAGCCTGTGACTACTACATCAGAAACACTGAAACGTCATTGTTTCGGACAGAGAAAAACATAGCATGAGATTCCTTTGCTTTCTACTGCTATTCAAACAGCAAGTGGGTGTTCAGAATGGGTTTTTTAGATAAAGCAGGGTGAAATTTTGACATCAAAAGGTCTTGAGATAACCATAATAATGGGAATGGCCACTGGGGGAAGAGTATCCTTCTTTTATACTTAGTTAGAATATAGCTATTTTGAATATTTTTATTCAAAAAAATGGAAATTTTGCTTAATTTCCATTTATCCTGTTCTAAATCTACCAACCCTGCAAAGCAGAGGCATGATTGATCTTAACATGTCAATCTCTCACCTAAGGAGAGGAAGAAAAGATTTATTTAAGGAATAAAATGTCATAGGGGTTCTTAGGAGAAAAGCTCCTGGGTTTGGATTTTCTTTGACTGCCAGGCTTCCAAATGAGTCATTCTCCCTGTCCATCCATCTTGAAGCAGCTTCCTAGATAGCTTTGAGTGCAGGCATCCAGACTGGCGAATACGTCAATGTTTTAGACTCCTTTTTGGCAGTTCATTTACCTGGGCACTGACTTTGAGTAAAGAGTTCTTGGTACCAAAAAAAAAAAGTCCTCAGGACTTTGGGGAGGTGATAAAATTCTATTCCTGGATAGACCTATCCCAATGAAAATGCATCCACTAGGCTGGGGTTGGGGGTGAAGGAGCTGAAATTCAATGTCTTTGGTTTAGTCCTAGGGGATCAGGGAAGCAAATGAAATCCAGGATTTGGAACACTAACCTAAGTAGAGTTTAAACTATGAGTGTGTACAGAAAATTTGAATGGATTCATCAGAGGGTCTGAAGAATTCTCAGCATCTATATGTACTCTGCACATTAAAGGTTTAGTATATGTATTATGCTGTATGTCCAGCATCTAACTGCCTGGCATATAGTGAGTGTTTGATAATTATTTGTTAAAATAATTTAGTGTTAAAATTAGAGAAAATCTCCCACTAGTTTAGATGTGAACAGAAATTTATATTGTTTATGAAAATTAATCCATATTATGACCTTTAAATTACAAAACAAACAAACAAAAAATGAGTTTAAAGACAGTTTGAGGTGCTATCTAAATTGGCCTCCTGTTTCAGAAAGAATCTTACTCAAGTCACCCTAGATTAATAAATTCTATTTGTAAAGACCTTAAGGTGGATAACAGCTATATATAAAGTCCAGTGATTGGTGCCTTGGTTTTCTTTGTGTGAGAGTAAATA